ATGCAGAGCAATAACAACGTGACCGTGTTTTTTCTCAACCTGAGAATGGGTAATAGGTTAACTATATTCCTAGATACAAGTGCTTGGTTTAGTGGTTGGACTGTTAGACTGTGACATGCTCGCAAAAAATCCCTCAAAGCTTTCACTATGAATATATTGATGTTCAATTAAAATGGGAGCGGCGATAGGGTAGATTTTTCGTACATTTATCTAACTAACAATCCAAAAAACTTAGTCGTAATTCAAATTTCTTAAATGCTTTCCCAAAGTAAACGAGCTAGAGCAAACGATAGAACGAGTTTCCCACGCAATTATAGACTAAAAATGCAAAGATAAGAGCCGTAGTTAAAAGCAAGTGAACTTAAAGAAAATCCGTAAATCGTTATATTATAAGAAGCCGCAGTGCGCGGTAAGCAGAATGATTCTTGGCTTCAACGAGTAAATGGAGATAGCTTACATGATACAAATACTCAAGCCGTTTACTTTTGCACAAATGAAGTGCGCTCTGATTGGTCAGTTGGTAAGTGATATTTTATTACGATAATGTCAAATGTAAAAAGGATTCGAATTATTTATAAACACTTGAGAACTGTCGTTCTCTCTTGGAACAGTGGAGTTTTGTGGGCCGATCGAATATCGAGGTAAAATAGATTCTACGTATTTATAACAACGATGGGACGTGAGAAAAGAACACAATGTCGGAGGTCTAATTTTATGTTAACATTTATTCTTGCCTGCCAATAAGCTGGCATCTCACCTTTGTTATTTCTATGTTGTTGATTGAGAACCCCCAGCGACAGAAAACACTAAGAGATTGTGCTAGCAAAGTAAGAATCGTTTAAGCAATAACTGAGTGAGCTCATGGCGACTTAAGGTACAACAAAAACGAATAACAAGACCCTGTTGGCAGGGTACACCGGGATACCTGGAGGACCTGGTTTCAACATGCATGGAGTATTTAGCTGGTTGAGCTTCCAAAAATACTGAGAAAGTATTTCGTGAATTCTCGAAGTAATGATGATAAACCAGACCCTGGTTAGGACGGTTTACTGGTATCAGAGTCTCTAAGAATCTAAAGGAGAAGTAAAAATAAGTTGCAAAATTTCTAACGACAGTGTTAAAAAGCGTTTGTAGGCAGAGCGTATATGCCATACTCATGAAACTCAATCTGGAACTCCAACTCCAGTTCCGGAATCCGAATTTTGGCATATGTGATTAGCTTGTTGTTCAATCACTTTTCAAAAGCATGCACATTCGCACGGCTCGCTTTAAAATCAAAATGCTTCAAATGCGTAAATACAGGCTATTATTTTCTCAAAACCTCTTCCATAATTGCTTTACATTTCGAAATTTATCGATATTTTTTAATGAATCATTATTTTTTCTAAAGAAAAATTAAAGATCATAACGCTTTGAACTATTGCGCAACTTTGTCATTTTGTCGAGGAGAAAAATACAAAAAAAGGCATTTTACGACTGTGATATCACAGGTATCCCAGTAACAAGCCGTACTAAAATAGTCGAAATTTTTAATGGGCTGACAAAATAAACGCCGCGGCTCAACGAAACGAAGGAAACATGCTGCTTCCAAGTATCTGGCAATAATTGAGCTCAATGGCGACTTATGGACCACAAGGAAGAATAGGAAGCATTACTAGAAGAATCTAAAAAAACATACACAGAGAGCAAAAAGCCCACGATTCAATGAAACAAAAGGGAGATTCAGCTTTCAAGTAATATTGTAGAAAGAATTGAGTGAGCTCATGGCCACCTACGGATCAGCAAAAACATAATAGGAAGCCTTATTAGAAAAGTCTAAAAAAAACATGCACTAAAAAGCAAAAAGCCCTAGATGCAACGAAACAAAACAGAGATTATGCATCCAAGTAATATTTTAGAAATAATCGCGTGAGCTCATGGTGACCAAAGGGAATAGGAAGCCTTACTAGAAGAGTATATAAGAAAATAGCATGCGCTGAGAGCAAAAAAACAACGACGAGAGAGATTCTAGATTCTGCCTTCCAAGTAAGAACTATTTCAGAAATAATCGAGTGCGCTCATGACGACTAACGAAAAAAGCAAAAAAGGAATAAGCTCTAAACTGAGAGCAATAAACAAAAAAAAAAACGACAACAACAACAACAACAAAATAAAAAATAAAAAATAAAAACGATTCAATGAATCAAAAGGAAAGGAAGACTATGGCATCAATTTAGTTTAGTTTAATTTGATAATGGCAAAAATAAAAAAGAAAGTAAATTTGAAATAAAATTGATGACAATATATATCCTTACTGGATCATACTTAGTTCATAGTCTAGAATATAAAAAATTAGAAAAAAACAAACAAACAAACAAACGACAATAAAGGAAGTCAGAAAAATCTGAACCCCAGATATCGACAACTTTTAAAAAAGCTGCGATGTTTTTAGCTGTTCAGCTTTGCAGCATAGGAAACGATTATATTTCCCTCGTGGTAGACTAGTAAGCCAATTTATTGAATAGAATTACACTAAAAATATCTAAATCAATTCGGAAATGGCGGAGATATTTTCAATGATCAATGACATGATCAGCCAGGCAGCCGCCTTGCACAGATGACACAATGTTTAATTTTTCGTTTGCATGTCTATTTTTTAAATTTATATAGATTACAGTTCAAACTTAAGGGGAAAGAAACGCCAAAAAGTATGGCTATGGTATGTCGTATCTGACATCATGAAACTTTGAAATTTCAAACATGGCGATGATGACGTCATTACTACGTCAGCACTACCACAACGTGATTTTTTTTGGAAAATGCTTTTTTCAAAAATTATTTTAAAGCTTTTTTTAATGAAATAGTATTCGTATTTTCTAACATCTACAAATTCAGTTCCTTAGTAAAACCATTCTCGTACCCAAAGCCTTCTCAGCATTCTAACGAAAATTCGAATGCTTTCGATTTTTTTGGTGAGAAAGGTCTGGGTACGAGAATGTAGTAAAAAAAAACCGATTACGATCGTAAAACACATCGTACTTTGAGAGTTTTAGTGTTCGATCGATCTAGTCATATGGCCGGCGGTTGTAATACAACTCTTCGTCCGGGATTTGTAAAGTACATTTCTATCAAATGATTAGACATCAGTTTGTCCCTAAGGAAACTTAGGAAGTAGTTTATGGGTGAACGGAAACATATTTGAACCACTCAATACACGTCAAAACCGATTTCAAGAAACAAATCCACTAAAGTTTCATAGTGAGATGAATACTGAAAGAAGTAGGTAGCCACGCTAAACTAGCTTAGTTGTCGCACTAGGCATTGTTTTCTATTTATGGAAACTAAAGTGTCGTATGGTTAGACAAGTATCGTTGAGATTACAGTACACGAGTTAGATACGGGAGTCTTAGTAAAACTAGTTATTTATCGCATTCATTTAGATCATATTCGTTTTGAGAGTGTCCTGTGTTTGACGTTTATCTGCGCACGTACACCAGTGTTCAACCAACCTAGAATATTTCCACTTCAAAACATCTTTACCGAAAAGAACAAAACAGGAACAAGCTAATATTAAAACTAGTATTTCAGCTGCAAACAACTTAAGTTTTTCGATTACTTCTCTCATACGTAAAGATGATAAAGTAAAAATAAAAACAGAAGATTGCTACTTCAAACTCGTGATGGAAGCCCCATAGGCTGAGTTTATGATAACGTTCGATTTGAAAAGTGTTTTGTTTATTTCTTCTTTTGTATCAGCTGTAGACTTTTTTAAGTTCTTATCACTTAAAACCCCTTTACGTCAGCCAACGTTTTCGTTATATCTATAGGTTTAACGTTTTAAAACAGTATTTATAGTATTAGATGATCTCAAAGCTATTTCACTCATATGTCCTTGATTCAGTGGCCAAGTATCTATCACGATGAAGAGTCTACGACTATTACTTATGTTATAATAAAGATTAGAAACATAGATAATGTACTCGATTATGAAACCGACATATTAACGCACTCCAAGCGTGAGGAGGTATTTTGGAAGTAGTTTAATTAAAGTTTAATGTGGGACAACTCACGGAAAAGGAAAAGACGCATTGAATCAGTTATAATTTGAATCTCTTTGCTACTGATTGAAAAAGTTTTTTTTTTCGTTTTTATGCTTTAGTAATTTTGTTAGTTTTTAATTTGTGTTTCTATCGATTTTGTTGTTTTGGTTCAATCTCCTATTTAATATATATATATATAACTATACTTATTATATAACTAGTTTTAGTTTCATTCATCATCCATCATCCACCATCCATCCCTCCCTCCCTCCCTTCCTCCCTCCACCAATTCCTCCCTCTTTCCTTCCATCGTACCCATCCATCTTTTCTTACTTACATCCATCCATCCATCCATCCATCCATCCATCCATCCATCCATCCATCCATCCATCCATCCATCCATCCATCCATCCATCCATCCATCCATC